CTATGTAAGAGTATTCTCTTCATGGTTTGTCTTAGATAGCCTCCTTGGTATCTTTCATAAAACAAAAACAGGATTCCATTCCAGCCTCACAGACAACACAGATGCAGGTCAGAAGCTTAGGAAAACAAAAAAAAGAATACGTTTGTACTCCAGGTTGCATACATGTACATGATACTACTGAAGAATATCTGCAAAACAAATGTAACAAAAGTGCTTCTGATGCAACAAAATGTAACAAAAGTGAATATTTCAACCAGTATCATTCTAAACACTCATAGGAGTTGACTTCACAAAACATCTTCAAGCACACTCTAATCTCAAGTCCTTCGTAAGTGGTAATTGCTGAAGAAAACTACGAATCACATCACCTACACTTCCTAACCCCAGAGAAGAGAGTACAATCTTTGAAACCCATATTTTTGTTTCTGAATCTTTACTCTTAACCTAAGAAAAATGTTGAATTTAGCTCAAAACCCCCAATTCACTCATCCATACACGAATCAGCAAAGTCGATTTCAACCAAAACAATAGAGAAAACGAAGCACACAAAGTAAGATTTCCCCAAATCGAAATTAGAGAGAAATTAAAACAATCGATTCGATGGCTCACATAAGTATTCAGCTGTCTGACAAAACTGGAGAAATTGTTGTGCTTGAAATACTTTGGTAGAAACTGTTTCGCAAACTCAGGCACGTTCCAGACGACGAAGCTGTTGTTCCCACTGCTCCATGAAACCACCTCGTTGGTCGATTGATCATCAACCATATCGTAAGTTTTGCTCAGAAACGGAGGAATAGAGCTCATCACCACCGTAGACGCCGACGAAGAGTTCACCGTCCGTACAGATTCGCAACTCGATCCCATTTCAAATCCCCAAAAAAAAAAATCAAAATCAAGAAACAGATTCGATCGATTCCGATAAACGCTGATCGATTCCTTCACGAGCTGAGCAAAAAAAACCTAAGAGAGATTTGCGAAGATCAAACGAAAGAGAGAATACACTTTTTAGTCTGCTTCTCAGCTTTTGCTCTGCTTTCTTCTTTTATTTATACAGCTCCATTTTCTTATTCCAGAAAGCGGTGGAGTTTTGCAGGGTAAGACTACGTGTTTTATTTTGGACCGTTAGATTTGATTCTCTATTTACCGTCGGATTTTGAGTTTTTATTAAATTAATTTTTTGTTTAGATAAGAAATACCACGTGGGCCACTGACAAACGTATTTTGGCCTTTTTTATTCGTTAACGTACCTGGTCCTTTATTTTCTTTTCACGTATCTGGCCCTAAGCTTTTTTTTTTTTTACTTACGTGGCACTAAATCGCGTTTGATTATTTTTTAAATCAAGTCGCGTTTTTTTTCCCCTTTATTCGCGTTTCGATGAGAAGAACTTGGGAGACAAACAACAAATCACATAATTAAAGAGACTAATATGATTCGAAAGTAGTACGATTTACCCATTTTTTTTTCTAGTTAAATATTAAATCGAATGTTTTCACTTTTCATTACATAATATAGTACAACCTTTGATAAAGGCACGTGATTGCTGTGGAGAAGCACGTGTGCCAAGATGCTTCACTTTAATCGAGAAAGCCCCAACCCAAGAGGCAAAGGAGAGGGCAAAGTAAGGACCTTTATTTTGTTTCCCTTCGCTCGAAACTCGAAATAACTCTCCTTTCTTGATTCCCTGAATCCTTCGGCGAACCAAACTCAGATTACCCAATCAGATTCGTGCCCATAAAGATCCAGATTCGCTTAAATTGACCCGGATTCGATTAGGTTTAACGGGTCGGATCCAGTGATCTGTCACTTCAAAAATGGGAAAGTTGTGTTCGATGAAATTTTGAGTCGAGGATTCGTCAATGGAGGAGGATTCAGGAATCTCTCTTCGACCAAGTATTTATTACAGACCGATAAACCTTAATGATCTAGATCGTTTGGAGCAGATCCATCGTGACATTTTCCCAATCAAGTACGGATCTTACTTCTTTTGTTGGGG